TTCCTTAAAATATATTTTTAATTTCATCCCATTGGGAATCACAATATTCCTATTTAACATGATTTAATTTTAGGTTTCTAATTAAAGACCTGGTTTTTGTTTGGCATCCTTTAGGACCGGCCAGACGCTCACCTGAGCGCAGTAGAGGTTCATGAGGCTGAGCGTGAAGAACTGCAGGCAGACGGGGAAGCAGTAGAGCAGCCAGAAGGAGAAGGGTCCGAGTGCGTTGGCCGTCACGCAGTCTCTGAAGTAGAAGGAGAAGAGCAGCGCGCGCAGAGCCGCCCACAGCAGACACAGGAACAGGAACGCCGTCTGGAAGCTGAAGCGCTTGTGTCTGTAGCGCAGCACCAGCCACAGCTGAGCGTAGATGAAGGAGAACAGCAGCGAGTAGAAGACGGTGTAGGCCAGAGTCAGGCCCAGCTTGACGAAGGGAGGGATGGAGGGGCTGAGCGTCGGAGGAGAGAGAGAGCCATTCGCTCCGGACGATCCCTGCGACGGATGCTCCATGTCTGCGTCTGTCATTACCTTCCCATCCAGCCTCGGAGATGCACCGTCTGCAGTCGAGAGGAGAGAGCAGAAAGGATGGAGCATGTGATCAGGATGCGGAGAAGCTGATTGGCTCTGGGGTGTGAGGAGAGGGGTGGGCAGAATGTAACTGCTGCTATTTTTACATCACCCCAAAATCAAAACGAAAAAACGTTTAAGAGCATTAAAAATTGATACATAAACTTGATAGAAAATAGAATGAATGTTTTTAAAAAGTATTTATTTTTTTGTCACATCAATCTCATAATTCACCTCAAAATCAAAACAAATATTTTTAAACATATTTTTTAAGAGCATTAAAATTGATACATAAACTTGATAGAAAATAGAATTATTTTTTTTTTTTAAAGGTATTCATTTATTGTCACATCAATCTCATAATTTACCTCACAATAAAAACAATATTTTTAAACATATTCTTTAAGAGCATTAAAAATGTATACATAAACTTGATAAAAAGTAGAATTCATGTTTTTTAAAAAGTATTAATTTATTGTCACATCAATCTCATAATTCACCTCAAAATAAAAACAAAAAAGACTTAAGACTTTAAAAAATAATAAAAAAAAAATTGTTTTTGTTTTTAGGACCATTAAGATGTTTTGTGACATTTTCATGACAATTGAGCAAATTCTTCATTTAATTCTTTCGGTTTATATCTCTTTAGGAATGTAATGTAATTGATACGTAAAAAAAAAAAGTTAATTTATTTTCACATTAATCTCATAATTTACCATAAAATCAAAACAAAAAAGACTTAAGACTTAAAAAAAATGATGAAAAAAATTTTTTTTAAGAGCATTAAGAATTCATAAATATAATTATAGAATTGATACTCTTCTAATAATAAAATTAATTACAAACGAATTAAATTATGTTAATTTATTTTTGTCATTTTAATCATTTACTTTTTAATTTTACTTTATCTAATGTACTAATCAAAACAAAAAAGACTTAAGACTTAAAAAAAATGATGAAAAATTTTTTTTTTAAGAGCATTAAGAATTCATAAATATAATTATAGAATTGATACTCTTCTAATAATAAAATTAATTACAAACTAATTAAATTATGTTAATTTATTTTTGTCATTTTAATAATTTACTTTTTAATTTTACTTTATCTAATGTACTTTTTTTTTTTTTTTAGGACCATTAAGATGTTTTGGTCCTTGACATTTTCATGACAATTCAGCAAATTCTTCATTTAATTCTTCAGGTTTATATCTTTTCAGGAATAGAATGCAATTAATACAAAATTATTAATTTATTTTCACGTTAATCTCATAATTTACCTCAAAATCAAAACAAAAAAGACGCTAGAAAAAGAACAATAACACTCTGACATTTTCATGACAATTAAGTCAACTCTTCATTTAATTCTTCAGGTTTACAGCTGCTGCCAGTATCAAAATCAAAACAAAAAAGAAAAATTATTTTTAAAATGTTATTTTATTTTTTAGGACTGTTAAGATGTTTTGCATTGTGACATTTTCACAACAATTAAGCAATTTCTTCATTTATTTCTAAGTATCTCTTTAGGAATTTATTGAAATCAGCATAAAGACTGTACAAATATAGTATAAATGCTATAAGATTTCAGTAAATATCAGTATTTTTGTTGCATTACGTAATGAGATTAGAGTCTCAACTTTCATGAAAATTATTAAAAAAATTATGCCAAATAGCATTTATACATTTTTGGTTTGGGGTGACAAATTAACAATTGTTTTTGATTTTTCCCTCATCAAATGATGTTGCATGGTTATGTCTTGTAATTGGATTAGTAATATCACATGTCACCACCAGAGGGCGATAATAAAACGTAATAATAAAACGTGAAAAATTCTGCTACTACAAACCTCAAGAAAAGCTCTGCTATCTTGTTTCATGTTGTTGACAGGGTTGCCAAGTCCTCATTTTCCCGCGACCCCAATTATGTGATATTTAGCCCCTGGAATGCAAATTTTGCCAGGGTTACCCTGCCAAAAATGTGTATTTTACATGTATTTTACCCACGGAACGCAATTGGGCTTGTTTTGAGTATCAATTGTGCGGGTTTTATTTTGAAAACCTGGCAACCCTGGTTGTTGAGAGGTTGCTGGCAGTGAAGATCTGGAACAGATCAATAACTCTTGGTAACTGCAGACGTTACAGCTGGAATGCGGCGTTAGAGCAGTTATTGAAGCGTTTACCTCAGCTGAAGCTGCTGAAAACTAGTTGTTGTGCAGAGTAAGTGACTAAACGGGACATTCCTCTGCCGTCTCTCTCATTTGTCTGCAAATGTGTGGTTGTGAAACATAATTGTACCTGTGCAGAGAAACACACGATAACTATATCACATCAAATAGTCCACTAGAAATGATTTTCAGGACTCTCCGAATCACATCTGTAAAATATATATAGAATATTGCACATGGAAACTGATCATCTCCACTCAATAAGGATTCTTTCATTCATTTATTAAGGTCTGGTTGTGGAAAAGGCTCAGAATCTGGGTTTGTAACTGAGAATAGTTACTTAATAACTTCAGGTTGTAAAGTGATTATGTGTCACTGTAGGGCCCCTCAGAAGTACACTGACCCCTGAAGGCCCCTGGGCTCTTAACTGAAGCCCGAGGCAGAGGCGGCTCACATCTGGACCAGGGTGGGGTGGACAGAGCTTTTTGTTTTTACAAATATGCTTTAGAAAATCAGTCAAATTCAGCACAAATATGTTTTAAAAACCGCATTCTATTTATTTGTCGCGTTGCTTCCAGTCTTTGATTAATCAGCTGTTAACGACTTGTAGACAGAACACGGAAATATATTTTTATGTAGCTGTGAAATATAAATTCACAGTGAATTGTTAAATAATGGCAGTAGTTATGTTTTGTCAATGAAGCGTACGATTTTCGTAAGAAAAAGCGTTCGTGGAGCACGCTGTTGCTATGGTTACCACTCAGGCGAACGCCACGAAACGTCCTCTGACGCGCTTATACATGTTCTGAAACTTTTTTTAAAGTAGAAAATGTCACTTATATGTAAAATTAAACTATTTTTGTATGGGTGCTTAAGATATTTGCACAAATCCAGCCCATATTTTGACGAGAGTAGGCTATTTTTTGTCGTGAAGCATTCCTATAATGAGTCCGTTTGTTAAAGACTTGCAGACAGTTATTTTTATGTAATTGTAAAATATAAATTCATAGTGAAGTAATAAATGACTACTGTAGTCATGGTTTATCAATGTAGAGTACGGTTTTTGTTATAAAAAGCGCTTGAGGAGCACGCTGTTGCTATGGTTACCACGCAGAGAACGCGGCTTTAGCGCCAGATGAAAATACGTACTTTTTAATTTTATACCTTTTTTTAAAACATACAAAATGCCCCTTAGATGTGAAATTAAATCACTTATGGGTACTATTCCAACAAATCCAGCACATATATTTTAATAACAGTGGGCTGTTTTTTGTCGCAAAGCAGTTCTCACAAATAGTCTTTGATTCTGCTGTTAAAGACTTGTATACGGAATATTTAGGTTTATTTTTATGTAGTTGGTAAATATAAATTCATGGTAAAGTGATAAGTATTGTCCGATTTATGTAACTAACGTTGCTGTTGCTATGGTTACCACTTAGGCGAAGGCAATTTAGGCGCCAAATGAAAATATATGCTCTGCCTCTGACACACTTATAAATTTACTGAAACTTTTATAAATGTAGCTTATATGTAGAATTAAACCACTTTAGTATGGGCACTTAAGATGTTAGAACAAATCCAGCACATACTGTAACAGATTCCTCAAAGACAGTCTTTGATGATTCCGTTGTTAAAGACTTGTAGACTTATTTAGAGACTCGTATTTTTATGTAGCTGTGAAATATAAATGTGATAAACGGCGACAGTTCTTATTTTTGTCGATGTAAAGTCCTAGTTTCGTAACTAAAGTTGCCGTTGCTATGGTTACGTTAGAGACTCGTAGTGTTTTTATGTAGTTGTGAAATATAAATGTTATAAATGGTGACTATACTTGAACTTTACTTAAGTATACTTACTAAAATAAACTTGAAGTATACTACTTTTTGGTAAGGGTAACCAGCATATGCTGTTTTTTTCAACAGGGCTAGTTCTTTTCGTAACTAAAGTCGCCGTTGCTATGGTTACGTTAGAGACTCGTGGTGTTTTTATGTAGCTGTGAAATATAAATTCGCAGCAAAGTGATAAATGGCGACAGTTGTCGATGTAAAGTTCTATTTTCGTAACTAAAGTCGCTGTTGCTATGGTTACCTCGGGCGAACGCGATTTTAGCGCCAGATGAAAATACGTGCTCTGACACACTTGTAAATGTTCTAAACGTAGAAGATACCTAGAATTGAATGACTTTGGTAGCTATGGGCACCCCCACCCTAGCTTTTGTTGTGACGTCCTCCAGGGGGTTCAGATTTCCCCAGTATGAACTCCTCTCACACCTCTAGAGTTCATCCCCGACCGGAGCTTTGACGGCACATATGTGTAGAGTTTCTAGAGTTGTATAATGGCTCTTCTGCGCAGTGTTGGGCTTCTGGCTCTGCTGGTGTCGGTCCGGTGTCTGAACCGGGAGCAGCTCTTCGATTACGGGATCCGGTTTGGCGACCAGATTCTGGATTCTGGAACCGATTCGGTTCGAGAGCTCGAGCTGGAGCAAACGCTCTTCTTCTTCAAAGGAACGTTCGATAAAGTTTACGTAAGTAGCTTTTCGATATTCATTGCAAGTTTTTCCCTTTGTTGTTTAAATTTTTTTTTGCATTAAGAAAAATATTAGTAATCCTAACGCGTTTTTCTCTAATATTTCCAATGATGGCGTTTAAATGGGCAGATTATGCTTATTGTGTATTGCAGATTATTTCTAAAGTCTGAGTTCATGAATGAATGAATGAAGTGAAATCGTGCAAATTGTCCTCGAGATCCAAGAGGAAACATGCATTTCTATAAGCATCTTATTAGTGACGATATTTTGATATTTGTTAAAATACTTTAACTCCTATTGTCCAAAAAAAGCAAAAATGTTCCCACACATCTCTAAACTTTTTCTAGTCTACAAATCCAGCAGTTATTCAATGCATATTAAGATGTCTACCTCCCCCTTTCTCTCCTTCTTGGTCTTGAAAGTAGTGTATCTACAGTAAAAGCCCCCCATGGAAAGAAAACACTGGGGAGAGACATAAACATTTACTTTAGGTGTCTGTTCTGATGTGGTTTTCTTATAAATGTGCTCATTAGTCTTGCATGTTTAGGTTCTAGAGGGTGATGATCCAAATGCAAAATTTGGTGTTTAACCAAATGCAGTCTGTTCTATGGTTGAATTTTTCCATATTACACTCTTAAAAGTATCGATTTAATTGGCATTGATGGTTCCAAGAAGAACCTTTAACATCTATGGAATCTTTTAATTGGGCAAAATGTTCTTTATAGTGGAAAAGGGTTCTTTGCACTAAGAAAAAATGGGTTCTTTTGAGAACTGTTCACTTATTTGGGAATCCAAATATGGTTCTTTTATGGCATTGCTTGAAAAATCCCTTTAGCAACCTTTGTTTTTAAGAGTTTAGAAGCCTTTGCATGATATTTCCAATCACTGAGATTGTTTTACAGATTTACAGATCCACACTGTTAACATTCAGACATGAACTTCTGTTGTTCCAGCACTTCCAAACTGTTCATTCAGTATTTTGGTTGATTTTAACAAAGTCATTGTTCACTAATCATCTAACCAGACTGCAGGAACTAATCTGGAGACAATCATTGGCTCCATTATACAAAATGTTTAAGATGTTTCTCACTTTAGTTTATTTAATCAGCTTGGAAGCGTTGACCAGAATGATTTACTAATGTAATACTCATTGTCTAGGAAAGCCTCCAACTTATGATGACGTAGTACTCAGATCTTCCAAAGCAGTTGGTTTTTATCTGACTTTAACTGTGTAGCGATATCTCACAGCTTCCTCTTGGAATGACATTTTCCATATGGCCTGTCCACTGATAGCCAATTAATCCCTCATTGTTTAGAGTAGGATGTTCCACAGAAATCATGGGAACGTTCCTATTGTTGCAAACGGATCAGAAAACACTGGCTCTTAGAAACAGAAGTGAAGAAGTTCTTTTGTCAGTAGACAAAAGTACCATTGTATGTTTCCAGATGGATCTGAGATGGCCTTCTCGTTTTGTCTCCATGCATCGTTGACGTTTTGCCAGAGACTTCAGTGTAGATCTGTGGTGACTTTGATGGCTCCAGCCCAGAGGTTTATATAAGCACTTCCTCCTGTCCTGCTGTGGTCCATTCATTTCCAACAGCAGTTATATTCCTGATGGACCGTCTCCAACAAAGTTTCCCATGTTACCTGGTTTGAACACAATAAAAAAGTAGGAGGAGCTCCCATTCCCATTGGAACGTCATTTAAGTTCAAGATTAGTTCAGGATTGTGAGGTACAGCTCTACTAGTTGACCTTGGTGTTAGATTGGACATCAACAACAAAAGATATAGGAAGCGTTTTGACTTCTAGCTGCTACCTGTTTAAATTACGTAGAGGTGGGTGATATGACCAAAATCTTTTCCTTGATTTAAGTAATTTTCTACCAAAATCTTTACTATGAAATAAGTAACTTTCAACTAAAATCTTTACCATGATATATGTATTTTTCGACTAAAATCTATACCATAAATAATTAATTTTCATCCAAGATCTTTACTATGAAATAAGTAACTTTCAACCAAAATCTTTACCATGACACAAGTAATTCAACCACAGTAAGTAACTCCATCAAGTTATAGTAAATCTGCCTAAAATCAGAGAAACTTGAAAGTAAAGCCATACCCTATATTTCATAACATTGTCGCTTAAATGATGTGTAATTAGATTTGGAAAATGTTAAACTTTGATAACCGGCTATAGATTTCACTTAAAACTTGTGCTGTGCTGAAAATCCTTTAGCTAATTTGGTGTTCACAGTCCAAAAATTTTTAAAAAAATTGCTTGTAAATCTCTCATTATGCTATATTACAGGGGCCTCCAAACTTTTTGTGAGTGAGGGCTCCCTGAAGGGATAAAATAGTCTCAAGGGCTACTTGTTTGATATACTCCAATACATACATATATATATATATATATATATATATATATACCGTTTTGCCTCGAATATAAGACGACCCTGATTATAAGACGACCCCCCTTTTTCCAGATGTACCTTTTGGAAAAAGGCTTTTTAAAA